AAAGTTCCACTCCAGAGAGATGCAGGAATTGCAGTCTAGGCATTAGAGGTGAAGAGACTCCTTTTGGGACCTGTTGTTTATCTTTCATGCATATAAATGAAACATTTTTTGTTTTGCTCAGAATATTCAAGTTGATCATTTTTCCTTGAATCTAAATAGCATTACCTAACAATTTGGTACATTTTTAGCCACAGCTAGTGTTTTGGAGTCTGGTCCTCTTCTTTTAATAATTATTAGCTAGGGTCAAGAGGTTAAAGGCAAGGAAAGCAATTTCCATGTATCATTTACCATGTGTTTCCTGAAGGAATAAGGTTTGGATCATCTTCTAGGTTTTGTATTATCTGGGATTAGGGACACTAGAAGGAATTCCAAGGATGTCTATAAAGACTTCATATATGTTAGTTCAATATCTGGTGTTGAAACTCCCCTAAGAGAAGCTATTGAGCCAATCCAAATCTAGCAAGCATTGGAGTAAGTACCTGAGCCTTGTTCAATTTCATTTGTAGGGCAAGTCAAAGTTGATTGGCTAAAGGATTATAAATTAAGCCTGCTGACTACTGGGGGAGACTTTTCTAAAATGGGGAGGATATAGGGAAAGAATTATATGATGGTTCATAGTCAACAAGAGAATGCTGTTTTCCAGAATCTAATATTGCTCTAAGGTAATTATTCCAGACACAAACAAGAAGAAGGTTTAATAAACAGTTTTAATCTTCTAAGCTATACAGTGTTATGCGCTTCATTTAAGTTATTTTCTTTAAAAATGAATTCCACAAAATAAAACTATCATTCTTTCCAATTCCATATAAGGAAACTAAGACAATAGTCAGGAACCCATACTTCAGCTCATTTGTCAGTATTTATTGAACCTTTCCAATTTCTCAAAGGTTATATCCCAGAGGTGAAGAGTACTAGGCTGGAAACCATACAAATGAATTTAGTTCCAAAATTGGCACTTACTAGCTGGGTGGCCTTAAACAAGAAATGTAGCCGAAACTGGTTTGGCTCAGTGGATAGAGCGTCGGTCTGCAGACTGAAAGGTCCCAGGTTTGATTCTGGTCAGGGGCATATACATTGGTTGTGGGCACATCCCCAGTAAAGGGTGTGCAGGAGGCAGCTGGTCGATGTTTCTCTCTTCTCTCATTGACTTTTCTAGCTCTCTACCCCTCTCCCTTCCACTCTGTAAAAAATCAATAAAATATATTTAAAATAATAATAATAATTTTATATATATATATATATATATATATATATATATAGAGAGAGAGAGAGAGAGAGAGAGAGAGAGAGAGAGAGAGAAATGTAACACTCTCTGATATGGTTTTCTCTTCTGTAACAACCATTCCTATCTTTCAAGGCAGTTCTGAGCACTAAATAAATTAAAATGTATGAAGTACTTATAATGTTGCCTGTAACCTATTAAATGCTATCTAGATATAAGCTATTATTATTATGTGGCCATGTATCCTTGTGTCTCTATGCTTTCTTTGGCATTGTCTTAAATCAGAGGTTTTTACTATTATTATAGAGCCAAGATGTGTTGCCAGAAGGACCAGGAATGTAAATTAGGGCTGGGAATGTAAGTACAGAGTTTAACTGAGTTCCTAAGTTGCTACTTCATTGTATAGGCAGGATAGCCAAAAACCCATGGCTGCTCAGAGAATGATCATGGCATTGCAGGGCTATTGTCATATGTTGGCTATGTCATCCTTTACCAGCCCAGGGGGCCCTACTTTCAAGCACCAAGGGCATTTTAAAGATTACAATGTTGATTCTGTTTCACTAAATTTAAGTAAACATCACCACTTCATCCAAAAATCCCTTATATAAGTGAGATCTGAACACCAGTATTACATATGACCTTGACTCCTAAATTAGATTTTAGATAGACACAGAGCCCAAACTAGAGTAAGTTTGGGCTTTCATGAATCTGGACCTAGAATATAGAAATTTTAGTCAGGAGCAATATCAGAGGAATAGCGGTGTGAGAGATCATCTTAAAATAAGGTGACAAGACGCCCCGCTTTTGGCGGGACAGTCACAATTTTTAACAATTTGTCCCGCATCCCGCGGCATTTTTAAAAAGTCCCTATTTTATTCTTTCCAAATGTTTCTAACTCTCTATCCCTCTCCCTTCCTCTCTGTAAAAAAAAAATCAATAAAATATATTTTTAAAAAGATATCCAAATTTATAGAAAATATTCCTTTATTAACTTTTGGTCAAGAATATGTATATTTTTATATTTTCAGAAAACAACTCCAAGACTATGTGGATTCCTGCAACAGAGAGGAATTGACAGGACTGATCCAGGCATGAAGACAGAAGAGAAATAGTCCAGAGATGGAAGACGCTAACAACACCTTGCCATACTAGCAGACAGCAGCTGTGCGTTGCTGAAGGATGCCCGGGACCAAACCAGAGATGGTTGGACCTGCATCACCACCATTTGTCCACCATCCAGAACTGAAATATCATGGCTGACATGTACACATAAGGAACTGTTTGACATTGAAATTGGGACTCAAAAAAACTGTTGGCCCAGAAAGCAACTCATTACAGACTGATTCATTTGCCTCTCAGCATAACCATTATGGCTGGTCTCATTTTGGGTTCTTATAAGTGTATTTCTTGTAACACATAATCTCACACATCTAGAGGAAATAATGAACAGCATAAACTGATGAACAAAAACAGACCCGGAGACAGAGAAGCATCATCAATCAGACTGTCAAACCTCAGAGGGAAGGTAGGAGAAGGGGGGGGGGGGGGGGGGGAACAAAGCACTTGTTTGCATGCATATAAGTCTAACCAGTGGTCACGGCCAAAAGGGGATGGAAGCATATGTGGAGAGAGGTTTGATATGGGAATGGGAGAATGAGGACAATTATGTGATACCATAATCAATTTAAAAAAACATTAAATGTATGTTTGGATTAATTCACATGCAAAAAACTTTCTCTACTTTTAGTTTCTTCTTAAATCTCTGAACTTCCATATGCAAAAACTTTCTTTTCTCCTGATATAATCTCTTAGAAATGCTTTTAATAAAGACCGATAGCTATCAAATTAAAAAAAAAAGATATCAACTCCCAGAATGGTTATCATTAAAAAATCAACAAACAAGTGTTAGTGAAGATGTAGAAAAGGGAACTTTTGTACACAGTTGGGAATGCAGATTGGTGCAACCAACTGTTGAAAACAATATGGAGTTATCTCAAAAAATGAAAAATGGAATGGCCATATGACCTAGTGATTCCACTTCTGGGAATTTATCTGAAGAAACCTAAAACATGAAAGAATATATGTACCCCATATGTTTATTGCAGCATTATTCATAATAGCCAAGATTTGGGGGCAGCCCAAGTGTCTTTCAGTAGAGGATTATTGGATAAAGAAGATGTAGTACATAGGCACAATGGAATACTATTCTTATGTAACAAGGAAGAGGAAGAAAATCTTACCCTTTGCAAGAAAATGGATAGACCCTGAGAATATTATGCTAAATGAAATAAATCAGTCAGAAAAGGCTAAGAACTGAATGACTTGACTTAAATGTAGGATATAAAACTGAAACTCATAGATACAAACAAAATTATGGTGGTCACCAGACGGATGGGAGTGGGGGAATAGTTAAGTGTAAAGGAAGCCAAGTATATGATGATGAAAGGTGATTTGACTGAGGTTGGTGGGCACACAATGCAATATACAGATCATGTATTATAGGAATGTACACTTAAAACTTATATGACCCTATTAACCAATGTTACCCCAATAAGTGTAATTAAAAATGAGAGAAATGCTAATCAGTCTCAGATTGGAAGCATTTATGGCTTTTGTCATGGAGAAACAAACTCAGTTTTCATAGGCCAAACAGTGACTCTCTAATGAATATTATTGAAGCTTTGAATATTAAACTATATGATATTGAAGAGGTGATTAAATTAAGCATTTTGAGATGAGAAAATTATCCTGGGTTACAACCCAAGTGGGCCCTAAGTGTTATCACAGGTGTCCTAGTAAGAAGGAGGAAGGGAGACTCGAATACAGAAACAAAGGCTAAGTAAAGAGGGTAAAAGTAGAGGGTCGCCTGCCAGGGAATGAGGACAAATTGGAGAAGAGGAAGAAATGGATTAAGAACCTCCAGAGGAACAGGCCTTGCTGGCACTTTGATTTTTATCCCATAAGACCTATTTTGGGTTTCTGACTACAGAAATGTAGATAATATTATCTTATATTTTGTTGATTTAAGCCACTAAGTTTGTGGTGATTTGTTACAAAACTAATACAGCATAGATATAAAAATCATCTTGAATATGAAGACACACAACTCAACCTACCAAACCCCTCTAATAAAAAGCTAGTCAGAAAACCAAACTGTCCCATACTTTAATTCAGGAGAATATCTCAAAGCTCCCAAAGCACCCAAAACCCAAAGTAATAGACCTTGAGAATATTATGCTAAGCGAAATAAGTCAGAAAAGGCTAAGAACTGAATGATTTGACTTAAATGTAGGATATAAAACTGAAACTCATAGATACAAACAAAATTATAGATACAAACAAAATTATGCTGAGTGCTTCTGAAAAGTACGTTGGAAAACTTTGTAAGAGGGAGAGGAGGGTACCAGAGGAGACATTTTTCAAAGCAGATTTTTTATTTTATTTTCAAAGATAGAAGCATGAAATAAGACAGGATTCTTTTACAAAAAACATCTTCAAAGAATAAAATTTTGCTTTTAAATTATTCTAATGATTGACATTGGGTGATTTTAATTCTGAAATGTCTGTCACTATCAAGGAAAAGTATGGCATCCATGGGTCAAGGTTTAATTTTCTGTAAATTGAATGAGGAGGAAAATTAAAATATTATATAAAGATGAGCTTATGGAATTCATGGACCCTAAAAATTGGATGATTTTTTTGCACTAATATAGATTACCATGTTTGTACTGATGTATTTTCACTGATAAGAAAGGCTCAAAATGGACAATGGCACTAATCAGCAATATTTTTTGGGAGTACACTTCCACTGATGCCAGCCACAAGAAAAACACTTAAATCCAAAGTTTATCAGTTTCTGTATGTAACTTTCCTTATCATCTGCTACATGAAAATAGAATGGTATTTTGTTCTGAATAAGATACTCTGTCACATTATAACCAATTTGCATCATGCCTCCTTGGCGTCGGTATTTAGTGACAGTATGTCCCATTCTCATCTCACAGGACTGTTCCATCACAACCCAAGAGATAAGATCCCCCTCTGGACCCAGCACGCCAAATCCTGGAAAATGCTGAAGGCAGTGTTCAATATATTTCAAGCTCCTCTCATTTTTTCCATAATCCCAATGCTCATTCACAACCCCTGCATGTGAGGCATCCAACAAGATGCTCAGAAAATTTCTTTTCCTGCCAAGAAAAAAAAGAACATTTACTCAGCCAATTTTTACCAAATACCAGGATTGCAGAGTATTAATAAGATACCATTTCTTTTCTTTAGGATCCCACAGCTTAGCGGAGGAAACAGATAAACAAAAAGTACTGTTTTATGTTTGCTTCAAAATCTTTCCAAATAATCGAGAGGGAGAAAATCCTAAGAAAGCATATCTCAGAAAAAGCCCAAGCAAATATTCAGGGAAGAATAAAATCAGCTGATGCTCCTAAAATAGCAAAGATGTACCCCAGAGCAACTTCCTATGTGGCTGAATTTTCTTTGAAGGTTCACATTGGAAATACATGGGTTCTGAATTCTACTATACAAAATATCTAAATAGACAAAATAATATTTTAACAGATAATTCAATAAAATGTATGCTGCAGGAAGATAAGAGTAATGTTAATCTTACAACTTCATGTGTCCCAAAGCCCATCAACACGTACCTTTAGGGAAATATTAAAAAATGCCATTTGAGAAGCATCACTAGAGAGGAAATTGGATTTTGGGGTGATAGCAATCAGGATTTTAATCCTGTTCTCTCAATGGATAAATTATCTAAGACTAAATGTTCTCATCTGCAAAATCAGAAAAAATATCCTCTGTGGTAGGGGAGGTTGGGGCAGGTGGAAGATTCCAAAGAACTTTTTGCCCTCCCCAGAGAGGAAGAGTTTTCAGGAACTTTTCAGTTTCAAAGTAGATCTATGTTCGCTCAAGGGTGAGGTCACTAGGCATGAAATTGTCTGCACAGGAGTAAGGCTTTCTTTTTGCTTTTTTCCATGCCTGACCTGATCCTAGTTCTGCGTCCTCAAAGGTCTGGAGTCTTGTCACCTGCCTCCTCCTGTGGAATAAATATGCATTTGGAAACACAGATGGACCAAAGAAAAATTTGAATATTGTTGGCTCTCCCAGTTCAATCAATGGCATTTGTGAGTGGGAATTTAGATTTTAATTGTTCTTTTGAATTAATAATACAGTTATAAAGCATAAATGGAAATTAACTGAAAATAATTACTTTCTCTCTTTCTCTGATCCCCTATACCCAGTTATCTTCTCTAGATGCACCTAGTTATCCTATCTAGTAAAAGAGTAATATGCAAATTGACCATCACTCCAACACAAGCTGGCTGCCCCTACGTGGTCAAAGATCTTGCCCTCATGTGGACACAATATGGCCGCCACAAGATGACCAGCAGGGGAGAGCAGTTGGGAGGACCAAGCCTGCAAGGGAGGGCAGTTGGGTGCAATCAAACCTGCATGGGAGAGCAGTTAGGGGTGACCAGGCTGACAGAAGAGGGAAGTTGGGGTGACTGGGTCTGCAGGGAAAGGCAGTTGGAGGGAACCAAGCCTGCAGGAGAGGGCAATTAAGGGTGACCAAGCCTGCAGGGGAGGGTGCTGGAAAAACAAATCAGTTTCACTAAAAAGAAATGTTGACAGGAAGGCTGGTCAACAACCTTAATTGCTCTAACCACTTACCCTTTAGTTGAGACAATGTTAGCTGAAGCAGCCTCCACCTTGTTTGTCCTGTGTAAGTTTCTATTATTTCCTGCCTAAGGGCTACATGTAAATTTCTGTTTATGTTGCCTAAGATGTTTTCCCCAAAGCCTTAATAAAAGGGGATGGCAGGCCCAGAGCAGTAGTAGTTCTCCCACTAGAGTTGGAATACTGCCTGGCCCCCCATATCGCCAAGTTGAACTTCTTCAAGTCTCAAGTCTCTCCATTTGTGTGCGGCCTTTCTCCAGAACCTGAACCCTGAATTGGAACTCTTTCCACGTGAGCCAAGAAAGAGATTCCTATAGGAGGGCAGTTAGGGTCAATCAGGCTGGCAGGGGAGCAGTTAGGCATCAATCAGGCTGGCAGAGGAGTGGTTAGGGGGTGATCAGGCTGGCAGGCAGAAGTAGTTAGGAGCAATCAGGAAGGCAGGCAGTAGAGCAGTTGGGAGCCAGCAATCCTGGATTGTGAGAGTGATCTCTGACTGCCCATTTAGGCCTGATCTTAAACGGGTAGTCAGACATTCCTCAAGGGGTACCAGATTGAAGAAGGTGCAGGCTGGGCTGAGGGACACACAACTCCTCCTGTGCATGAATTTCATGCACCGGGCATCTAGTACAATATATTTATGTAATTTTCTAGAGGTATTCTATAAAATTTTCCATGTGTACATGCTGTGATAGCATGCAATATATAATGTTTTGTCCATCTGAATTATTTCTTCCTTTACTTAGCAATATATTTTGGAATTCTTTTCTTATCAATTCATATAGAGACGCTTCATTTCTTATTAATAGCTACATATTATTCCAGTGTTTGGGTTAAACTTTAATGAATTTATCCATGCCTCTACTGATAAACACTTAGGTTGTTTCAGATTTTATGCTATCACATATTAAATTCATCAAAGTTTTAGCATCCAATTTGGTAATATCTTTACTTAATTTTGACCCAACGATTTCAATTCTAGGAGTCCATCTTTCAGAACTATTAATTTAACTTATGCAGATATTTATTACAGAATTTTTGTTATTAGGAAGAACTGGTGATAAATTAAACATGTGTTAATATGGGAATACATAATTATGTATTTCCCTATTATAGAAATCTATACAGCTGACCAAATAAATATATCTGTGTGAGTTTACATGAAAAACGTAAATAACATATTGGCTGAGTGAAAAAAGTAAGCTGCAATACAGTATGTGTGTATATTATTTTTTAAAAAGGGGGGGGGGGATAACAACAAAATACACATAGTTCTAAAAGCATAAACACTAATGCTAATAGTATTTACACCTGGATAGGAAGATTGTGAAGAATTCATGTAGGCAAACTTTTGCTTTTTATTTTGAATACTTGTGTATTTTGTACACCATGTAGCATTTTTACAAAAAGTAATCGTTTTAGAAAAGATTTTTCAGTGCTACCATGAGATCCAATACCCTGCCAGGTAAAGGACTTGTCTAATGAAGGCACTGCCCATGCTCAGCAAACCAGGTTCCCTTCCTTTACCCATCCAACTATGTGCCTCATCATAATTTAGTCTCAAATATTACATTTCAAAATGTAGTTTCAAATATTATGGCAACTGAATGATTCTATCAGGAATTTGGGAAGCAAAAAAGTAAAATCTCACTTGCTAGCTTCATCCGTGTTGAACAGTTTAAGTAGTTCCATCAAATTCTCATTGCCATCACTTGATGTCTTAAACTTCTCTGGTATATCTAATGTAAAAAGTGTGGTCTTCCTGTAATCCACCTGCACTGATTTTGAAGCGGAAACCTTTCTTATTGCCTCATCCAAGTTCTCTTGACAACCTGGAGAGAGGAGAAAGACAGGCTCAGCATCACCCTGTTCATATCTACTGTGAACAAACCAGGGAGCCTTTGCCTGTTAACTCAGACCAGTTACCTTGGATCTGGAAGGCTTGTTCCCAGTTGATAACCTGGGGGGATGCCAGAGCTTCCTCCAGGTTGTCAGGAGCTTTGGTGAAGATGTGGTAAGTGTTGTTATAGTGATCCAGATCATCTTTCATCTCCTGATAAAACAAATATAAATCAAATTTACATGGCACTAAAATTTACCAAATGTTCTTGTCTATGTCTGGAGTGCTAGAGATATGATGCCCTCTGTTTTTCTGAGAGATGTGCATAAAATGGCCTTGGAATCCCTTGAAGAATAAGTCACTATTAACACACTGAAGGTGTTTCCTTTCTTTTTTAAAAATTTAAGTTCTTTATTGTTTAAAGTATTACATAAGTCTCCTTTTTCCCCCATTGACCTCTCCCCGGCCACCCACACCCCCAACACATGCCTTCACCACCACCACCAACAACAACAACAACCCATCTGTGTCCATTGGTTATACTCATATGAATGCATACAAGTCCTCTTACCCCTCCCCCAACTTTGTCTCATAGGTTGGACAGTCTGTTCGATGTGTCTATGTCTCTATGAAAGGTGTTTCCTTTCTGATGGTGCACTGAAGTCAGCTGCCTTTGGGAGGGTAGGTAAGTAGGTCCATTGGGGTGGAGGAGGCATCAGGATTAGATAAATGTGTAAAAGAGAGAGCGCCTCTGGTATAGAGAGAAGTATAAGGAACAGAGTTGGGGGTCAAGATTCTGAGTCTGTGAGGAGACAATGCCTAAGCTAATTCTGACCCAGCATTCTGGGGCATGGTAATTGACTCTTGGTGCGCATGTGAATAAAGAGGACTTTGAGAAAGATCCATCATCCAGAGCTCAGAGCAGCATCTGTAGTAGAGGGCCAGGTCTGCCCCTGCCTATCTGCTTACTTTCTGCTTCAGACATCATCAGGGGGTGGGTCCTGGGGGACACTGCAGATGATGTGTTCTAACTCACTTGATTACTATGTAAATAGAGGGAGGGTAAAATATCCCTATTCTGAAATGGAAGGAATTCACTACTTATACTCCCCAAACCTGGATGATGAGGAAGACATTCTGATAAAATATCCATGATTTATCTGTTGTTTAACAATTCTCTCACATAATGATTTTATCAACGTTACTTTTTATAATTAACCTGTTAACCGGGGAGTTCCCTTTTTAATTATGCAATGTACAATGGGCGCATACTCTTTCACTAGGATGTGTCAGTACGTCACGCCCAGTGGATGTAATTTTATATTATTATTTTTTATTTATACTTAATTAAAATAAATGAAATATATATATTTTTGTTTATTTATATTTAAAGCACAAAGGAAAATACAAAATTATAAACAAATAGAAAAGAATACCAACAAAAAAATGGAAACATCGAATTAAAAAATTATAAATTTTACAAACAATTATAAAGATTACAAAAAATATATTTTTTATTTCTATACACAATAAAAAATATTAAAAAGTTAACAATTACAGAACAATAAACAAAAGCACACAAATAAAATAGAAATATTGAGTTAAAAAATTGAAATATAGATGTAAAAATTCAAAACTCAACTTCCGTGTGTTATATTTTAAAACAACTGTTGATACATAGTGCTACCTTACAATCCGGACACCAGTATGTAGATTCTTTCCTAACACCTTTTTTGTAGCAAACTCAGCATTTCTTGGATTTAGTTTTTCCAATATCACTTTTCATTTGTTCTGGAAAATGCCTTTCAACTAAGCGTGATGGTTTAGATGTAGAGCTGCTTGTTGATGTCTTTGGGTGGGTTTTCACTATGTTGTTATCTACCAATTTCTCTACACACTCTATCAAAAAGTGTAATCGATCCAAACGACCTTTATCTTTTTTGTATATAATATATGCATTGAAGCAGCACATATCAATTAATTGTAGAAAAAAATTTATAAAATTTTTTTACCCTATTACGGGCAGCTGTGTAGGCCACCATAACACTCCATCTCCCAAATCTACGCCGCCCATATTCTTGTTATAATCCAGGACAACATTAGGTTTTTCTTGCCTTCTTCTTCTCCTTTCAATCATTGTCTTTTCGTCATTATGAATAGAACTGAGCATCAATACGTCTTTTTTATCCTTCCATTTTAAAACCATAAGTTTGTCTTTGATTCTTACATATGTTCATTTTTCTGTAATTTTTTTGTTTTTATTTCACTGGGGATTCCGACTCTGTTTATCCTCATTGTTCCAACAATGTCTGTATTGTTTTGACACAAGAGTTCAGCCAAATGAATTGACATATAGAAATTATCTAAGTAAATCCTATATCCTTTATTCAGTAAGTCATGTGTTAACTCCAAAACAATTCTTGTTGATTTTTTTTTTTTGTGGGTAGTTCGAACCATAATTTGTGCCCTTGCCTGTGTATAAAATTATATTTTGAACATATCCAGATTGGCTTTAACTCAAAATAAACAACTTCATTCCAAATCTAGCTCTTTTTGTAGATATATATTGTTTCCAAGATAAATTCCCTTTCCATAATAAAAGAGATTCATCTACGCATATTTCTTGTTCACATACATAAAAACTTTTAAACTTTTCTGACAAATTATTGATGATTGGATCAATTTTATATGTTTTTTATTATATAAAGATTGGAAATATAAAAAATATAAGTAAATAATATATAATACGAAAATAGGTAGGTAAGTGTAAGTACGTACCCGTCACTGCTTACCCAGAACATGTCCACCACTCTCAATAGTGAAATTATACTGATTCCCTCCGTGTCTTAAATTCATGTTGAGACATGTATGGATGACTAATACCTTTGTTGTTCGGAAATATACGTCCCGCCCATTTCAGGGCGCAACATATATTTCAAGACATATTCATACGTCCTACCCGATATTGTTTATGTTTGACGTATTTATAAGTCCCGCTCGGTTAACAGGTTAAGAGAACAGCTATCTTCCCAAGGTCACACATTTAGTCACTTAGCAGGTTTAGATTTGAATCCCAATACTGACTCAGGTATTATTGGATTATGTTCACTTAGACATAGAGAAAGACAATATTTCCTAACCACTTGCAGCATGGCTGTGGTCAGACTCTTAATAGAAAAGAATGCACTAGATGGGATCCTAATGTTATTTACAAGACAGGTACTGTTAGCTATTTGGTCAATTCCCATGCTAATCTCACTGTCCTACCTTCTCCCTCAAGCGGCCTTTCTAAACTTATATGAATCACAAATGTCAAGGTTGTTCTTCCCAGCCAACAGCTTCAATTCTCTCATTCCCACAGAAAGACCATCCAGAGCATAACCAGCCTGGTATTCAGTAGCTTGAGCTCTCACCTCTTTCTTAGGCCGAGTAATGATTATCTGATAATCTGGCCAGGCATCCACCAGCACCTCCAAGTTGAATGGGTTTTTATTTTTAATGTGAAAAATGGCACCATATACCTACAAGAGCAACAGAACAAAACAGGAGAGGAAGTTCTTTGAAATAGAGCCTTGTATCTGGTACAGGAAATAAGACCAGGAGTTAGGGAGACTGAACAGGATAGAACCAATACTTCCAGTATGATTCATTGGACTATTTGCTTCAAAATGGTCCAGCAAATATCCACAAAACTCCAAAATGTAATCATCGAGAACATTTTTCCTGCCTGGTGTGGCTCAATAGGTTGAGCATATTCCCAGATATCAAAGGTTGATGGTTCAATTTCTGGTCAGGGAACATGCCTGGGTTGCAGATTCAATCCCTGAAGGGGAGTACATGCATGAGGCAACTGATTAATGTTTCTCTCTCACATCAATGTTTCTATCTCTCTCTCCCTCTCTCTAAAAATCAATAAAAACATGTTTTTAATAAGAACGTGCCATCCTTCTATCTCTATCTTGAAATTCACTCATTCATTTTTTTAAATATTCATAGCATTGTTCCAATTTTTTTAATTTCATACAATACTATATCACTTATGGGGCATCTATTATATATCAGATGTTTGTCAAGTATAGAGAATTCAAAGATGAAATAACATGGCCACTGCATTCAAGTTATATCTGGAAGGATAGAGAAATACCTAGTCTTATCATAACAGGACATGTGTTCTGATACATGTATGCGTGTGGTGTGTGGCATCCCAGGGACGAAGTTGTGGGAGACTGACAGAAAAAGTAATACTTGAATTAGGTCTTGAGGTATAAGTAAAAATTTCCTCTGGCAAGATAGAGAGAGAAGGATAGCAAGTAATTCCTGGTGGGAGAAAAAGCATGAATGAATGCTTGAAGGTGTAGCAGATTGTATTCTACCTGCAGAACTGTGAGGGGCTCAATAATTGAAACATGTGGTATATGACGAGGGAATGTTGAGAAATGAAATAGAAGAGGTTGGGGCATTTTTTATAAACTTTTGTATACACAATTAAGGATTGAGGACTTTATTCTGTAGACATGGGCCTCTACTGAAATTTTAAAACAAGCAATAATATGATTATATTTGTTCAGAGAGATGGCTCTGCTCACCAAGTTGCAGGTGAGATGGTAATATTGAAAACAGGGAGCTATTGCAAAAGCCTGGAGCAAAAAAAAAGGAATCCACTAAAGATAGAAATATAGTTGGTTCAAAAGATGTTTAAGAAGCTGAAAAAGAATAAGATAGGTGAATGAATATGGCTATTAAAATCATCCCTGAAGAAGAAATCTGACTTTAAACTTGAACTTTCATCCACTTGGGAAAGGTTCTGAGCCCTGAATTTATCCCCCTTACACCTCATCCCTGTCTCCCCACATCACCCATTACTCTCTCACCTTATAGGACTGAGGGATGCTCTTTTCCAAGGATTCATATAGAATCTGCAGGTTCTGGGGATCATTAATCACAAACATCTTGTGTAACACCTCAGCCCTCTTCCCTCAGGAAGATGATCTAAAGAAATAAACACACAAACAAAAACACCTGCAGAGATGAGACAGGTGTCCAGGGAGAGGAGAAAAGTGAAGCCATCTAGGATACCATACATTTATTTCCAACCATAAGGCCTTCTTGCAGTAGAATTTTCTGGATTAACCTGATCCAATAGAAACTCTGTTATGATCATCCATAAAAATAAGTTGAAGAATATGAATGTTTAACAAGATAAGAAAGGAAGAGAGGCCAACAGAGCATACTAAGGAAGAATTATTTTTAAAAATGTGAAAAATAAGAATAGTATCTCAGAAATCAAAATAAGAGAAACTTCATTTAAAGAAGAGAGTGCATAGCAGCACAATTTACAATAGCTAAGATTTGTTAACAGCCTAAGTGCCCATAGCAGATGAGTGGATTAAAAAATTGTTGTACATCTACACAATGGAATACTACGTTATGGTAAAAAAAGAGAGAGAAAGAGAGAGAGAGAGAGAGAGAGAGAGAGAGAGAGAGAGAGAGAGAGAGAGAGAGAGAGTTCTTACCATTTGCAACAGCATGGATGGAACTAGAGAACATTATGCTAAGTGAAATAAGCCAGGCAGAGAAAGATAAATATCACATGATCTCACTCATTTATGGAAAATAATGAACAACATAAACTGATTAACAAAAATAGATTCAGAGACAGAAACATCGATCAGACCATCAAACCTCAGAGGGAAGGTAGGGGAGGGTGGAGGTAAGGACTTGTATGCATGCATATAAGCCTAACCAATGGACACAGACAACAGGGGGGTGAGGGCATGAGGGGGGTGGTTAGGGGAGGTAATGGGAGAATAAAGACACATATATATAACACCATAATCCATAAAGAAAATTTTTTTAAAAGAAGAGAGTGGTTTGAGAAGATAGATACTGCTGAGAAACTAAGAGAGATTAGCACAAAAATGCCAATGCATTTTGGAGTAAGGAATTGATTTTCTGATTTGATGAGAGATGTGCCATGGAATGATGGAGGAAGAAATCCAAGTTAAGGTGATTGGAGAAAAAATAAATGTAAGGAAATGAAGATAACTCTTTCAAAGAGCTGCATCAGAAAGGAATTAGAAAAATATGATAGTAATTGGGGAGAGGGGACTGGAGACTGCAGGAGCTTAAAGGAAGGCATTTCTTATTAGATGAGAGATAATCTTATTGATGTTAACTATAGAAAGCAGGTAATATGAACAGAAATTGATGGGATTTAATAAGAGATGGGAAGGGGAAAGAAAAATAGTTACATCAATCCAGGCACTGTTTCAAATCCTTTATGTTGATTCATTATTTTATCTTCAGTCACACCTCTATGTGTAAGTATTGGGACTAGTTTTGTACAGAAAGAATACCTCTTCTACACAATGGAAAAGAAGTATTTTAGTTTAGTATGAATGTAGGTATATGTGTGTGAGTACTTGAGATTAGAAAAAAGAGCAGAAAGTTGACGTGTTATCTCTGAATACCTATTTTTTGGAAGTAAAAGAATGGAAAATCACCTTTGGGAGTAAAGTCTTTTGGGAGGTAATGTACTAGAAAAGCATAGAGAAATACAATATGGTGTTAATGCTAAAAATTAGTTTGTATGGCCTCTTATGCTAGTTGGAGAAAATGCAGAGTAGAAATACATAGAGCAATTGCAAGACATCACTTAGGGCAGGTGCAGGTGGAAAAACATCATTTGGGAGTTGTATTCACCCACATGTATGATCTCAGTACTCCAGAGACCAGAAGAGAAAACAAACAAATGAAGCAGGTTTAAATTTTTCTAGACTTAGCCCAGCAGATAACTGGCAACTGGCAAAGTTTTTGAGAATAAAGGAAAGAGACACTTGAAAGTAAATTAAAATTGTGGAATCTAGGAGAAATGAAAAAGTAAATTAGGATGGGGACTAATCAAGTGATAAAAGATGAAGAGAGCAAGGGATAAAGCACTTTATGAGGTCAAAGAATAGCAATGGTGATAAGTAGGGGGAATGTATTCAAAAAATAGGAGATTGGAATAAAAAATTAGGCTATTAGAGGTTAGGATTTCAGAAGTAAATCAGTCAGTGCTCACTTCGGCAGCACATATACTAGAAGTAAATCAGTTCAAGTCAGAGAAATAGTCTTGCCCATCCAGCATTGCTCATTGGTTGAGCATTGACCCATGAACCAGAAGCTCAAGGTTTGATAGACAGTCAGGGCACTTGCCTGGGTTTCAGGCTCAATCCCCAGTAGGGGGCATGCACAAAGCATTGATGTATCTATCTCTCTCTTTCTCCCTTCCTCTTTTTGAAATCAATAAAAACATATTTTTTAAAAAATAGAGATGCCAATAAGGAAATAGATGTTGTAGGTACCACAGACATCAGCAGGATGCAACAGGAGTTTAATGGAGAGAAATATCTGTGAACCCGGTGCCAAATACATTAATGATTAGAAAGAAATTTGTCAGGAGAAAAAGGAAAGGGTAAAACTTCATCTTAGCCACATAGTGCTTCCTTCAAAGAAGGAAGAGTTTTTCTATGCAAATGGACAAGTAACACTTTAGATCCATGGATTGAAGGCAAGGAGAATGTTGATTCTTGTCTTTACTCACAATGTTATTATAGGTGTCTGGAGGGTGGCAAGGAAAAGCAGACACATATCAATACTTTATAGTTAAGGAAAGGATTTGGACAGGTTACCAGTTCAAAATATCACATGCTAACTTTGTAGATTTTTAAAGTACTTTCTGGCTCCAGGGACCTGCAATATGTTTTAGGAATTAGTTCCCAATATTGGGCTCAGGTCCAAGAGTTTGCAAGGGGGAAAAAATAAATTAACAAAAAAAATTTTTTTCCATAGGGGGAGTGGATTTCTACAAATGGTTATTTTCTTTTTTTTTTTTTTTTTTACTTTAAGTTATTTTTATACGACTCAGAGATAACCATTATTCTGACTTCTATAATAATCAATTATTTTTTCCTGTTCACATAAATGAAATTATACATTATATATTCTTTTGTGTATGGCTTCTTTGACACACATAATTTTTTCTATTTATCCATGTTATCATGTGCATCCATACTCCATCTTTTTTTTTTAACTGTTATACAGTGTTCCAATGTAGGAGCATCCCACAATTCATTTATCCATTCACCTGATGATAAATATTTGAGTTGACTTTAAATTATGTTTTATTTTTCAATTTCAGTGAAATACAATATATATTACTTTTAGGTATACAACCCAATGATTAGACATTACATAGCTTAGTAAGTGATCATCCCAATAAATCTTGTGCTCCTCTATCATACACAGTTATTACAATATTATTGACTATTTGGAATTGAAGGATATATGAAGAGCTTTCCAGACAAGAAAAGCTAGGAAGTTTGTCACCACCAAATCAGAATTACATTTGCAATGTGAAGGGTCTTCTTTAAGAAGATAAAAAAAGATTTTAAAATATTAATATTAAAATGACAATAAATACATATCTATCAACAACTTAATGTAAAATAAGTAATCAAGCAAACAAGCATACAAAAAATCAGAACATTAAACAGACTCACAGAGAGAGAATTTTGACCATTGTCTCATGGGAGGAGGGTTGGGCAGGTTAGGTGGAAAAGGTGAAGTACAAATTGGTAGTTACAGAATAGGCTCAGAATATAAATACAAAATCTTTTTTTAAATAATTTTTAATTATAAGTGATATACAGTATATTAGTTTCAAGTGTACAACATATTCTTTCAATATTTATATACATTACAAGATGATCACCACAATAAGTCTAGTAACCATCATAAATACAAATTCTTTAGAACTAGGGTTCTAATTAATTGGAAGGCTGAAAAAGACAAGACATTGCTGTCCAAAACAATCTGCTTACCTGATGATTTGTTGTAGACCTGTGTTCACACAACCTTTTGCAGTCACTCAGTATGGCAATGGAGAAGCTTCTGTGGCTACCACCTTATAGACACCACCACACCAAACTTGAACCAACTCAAGCGTCACTATGCAGCATAGAACTCCAAGAAGAACTAGGAGTCAACTGAAGGAACTTTTTGTTGACATAAGTCAGAGACTTTGTGGGTCAGAGGAAAACTCCAATTATGAAATGTTTCCCACTGAATATTTTTATTTATGTACCATCACTTATATATGATTGGATACTCCAAAGCATAAATAATAAGGCAATGTTGTGGAGTTGGCAGAAATTGTCCAGCTGCCTAGTTATTTAAATAGTATCATTAGGGCAAACAGAAGACCTGAAAAATTTGACTTCATTTCAAAATGCCTGGCCCAATGCTTTCAACCATGTGACCTGGGGGAAGCCAAGAACTCTTCAGAGAAGTGGATGTTAGCCTAATAACTGGGCTTTGAACAAGTTATCCTTTTTGTGCTTTAAAATGAATGGAAGCAGGCCGAAACCGGTTTGGCTCAGTGGTAGAGCATTGGTCTGTGGACTGACGGGTCCCAGGTTCGATTCCAGTCAGGGGCATGTACATTGGTTGCAGGCACATCCCCTGTAGGGGATGTTCAAGAGGCAGCTGGTTGATGTTTCTCTCTCATCAACGTTTCTAGCTCTCTATCTCTCTCCTTTCCTCTCTGTAAAAAATCAATAAAATTAAAATGAATGGAGGCAAATAAGGAAAGAGCATTATAAACATAAGGAAAAAAAAAATAACAGTTCCTAAACAAAAGTTCATTAGGGATTGGAATTCGTTTTTGGAGAGGAGCAGAGGTAAATTTTGACTTTTAAAAGTGTGTTCCTCACACCATCTCTATCAAGACCTTCTGGGCTGACTTGTTAGAAATATAGGCACTTCTCCAAATCACCTGAATTAGGATCTTCCAGAATGCTTGGGAATCTGAGTTTTACAAAAAGCTACCTAAAAGTGTTGAATCTACATTAACATTTTGGAGATGTTTTGACAGAGGGGAAAAGAAGCTATCAACATTTTACTCACT